CTAATAAAATCAAGGGATGCTAGATGGCTGACTTTAGCTCTCTAACTGCAGTGCATCAGAGAAGGAGGAGAGGAGGCTAAGGTGCTGCCAGGATACATTGTACCATAGCAGGACCAGTCTCCTCCCTTTCCCACTCCCAGTATGTCCTCTAAACCCATTCACCAAGCTTGCTTTCTAAGAGAAGCAGCATTACAGTTCTTAACACAGTGGCTGGGCAGGTTGGGGAGAAGAGCTCAGCATGGATTTCCAATTCAGAATTGGAGCTCATTTTTGATGTTAGATTTAGGAATCTAAAAAAAAAAAAATTGTGCTCCTCTAGGCACTGTCTGGGGACCACAGGATTTTTTGTTTAGTTCTCCTTAACTACAGTCAGAGAATTTGTAATTGGTGCTCCTCATGCTCTGTGATTATATAGCTTAATGCAATAAAGCAGCAAATAGACTAATTATTTAAAATGAGTCAGAGAACACAAATGTTATAATGGCAGATTATAGCAGCTGCAGTTTCTAATCTATACTCAGCATAAATGGAAAAACGAGGATTCAAGGCTAATTAAGATGCACATACAATGCTAAGAATACCAAATCCATCAGATTTAAACATAAATGAAATGGTAGGCAATAATAATCCTATTGTTGCTTCTGAAAAATAAAAGCATCATATCAGGCTATTTGCAGGATGTGATATATATGTGCAAGATAAGATAAAGCTTAAGCAGTATTATTTGTGTTGCTTCTTGAGGACTCAATAATCATCTCTGTTATTAGGTAACCTTCCATGACTAGCTAATAGCCTAGTTTTCTTAGAACAAGGCTAATAAGCCTGGATGGGACCTGTTGACAGCTGAATATATGATAAAGAATTACAAAGAGGTTCTGAGTGGCTTTCTGCCATGAGATCATTCTCCGGGAAAGTAACTTTTTTCAGATAAAAGGTTGTGCAAATTGACCTTTTTTTTTTTAATATGCTGGCATGCACAGTGAGGCATTCTAAACCTTCTCTTCAATCAAAAGACTTCCAGAGATCAATAAAATCAGTAATAAATAAGACAGTGTGCTATAGACTTATGGCAGCAATTCTGTGGTACCTGGGAGAGTGTTCTAGGTATCATAGGATACTGTAGAGTTCTCTTTATGAGATGTAGGCATTACTATGTCCTCAGGAAGGGAAATCTAAATAATGATTTCCTGACCTTCGCACCCGTTGCAACTGCCACACAAAACAGCACTCTGACTTTCCTACCCAAGGTCAAAATTCCAACCTCAGGTAAGAATGGAGATTAAAAGGAATAGATGTGCAGGATCCTATAGCCTCCAAGCTCCCATCCCATCCCTACAACTTCACTCATTGATAATAACAGAAAGGAGGCTAGAAAGGTGAAATTTGTCTTGCCCTGCTGAGCATCTGCCAACCAAGTATAGGAGTTTTGGAGCCCCCTGTCAGGATACTTCCTGCCAACCAAGTATAGGAGTTTTGGAGCCCCCTGTCAGGATACCCACAGAATTGCTCTGCCCAAAATGTAGCACAAAAGGCATTGTACATGTATGATCCATCCTAATGAAGCCATTTTTCAAACAGCTTTCAACGAAGGATTAATATTTCATAGAAGAAAAAAATTCTAAAATGCTAAATACCTTTAAAACATTTGCATTATGCCTGTCTGGTCTGAGTTAGGACAAGCCTAGAGGAACCACTGGGACAGCCCCTGTAATATTGCAAAGCGATACAGCACCCTAGGAAAGTGGTCTGACCACCCAATTCCCTTGAGGGGCCTTTTCCACAGCAAGAAAGAGGGTGCAGGTATATAGCGGTCTCTTTGCCTACTTATCTCTGCTGAACTTCAGATAGCATGAACTGCAAAGTTCTGTGCTGTTCCTCTCTCCTGCATAGATGAAGATGTTATTGTAGGTTTTGTCAGGGCGTCTCAATAGCAGCTGCGAATGAACACTCGAACACTTGGATCCGGAGATACAAGGTCTCAAATGACGAGTAATACGGAAGCCGAAAAAATGTAACAAGTATCGGAGTCAATAACAAGAATTACTCGAAGGGATTAGCCTTTGCCAGACTGTAGCAACGCCCTGGGTGGCAGGGAGCGTCTGTCTCTGAAAGCAACATTTAACAAACAATACTTCAGGGAACAAAACGACGGACCCTGGCTAGGAATTCTGCTTCCTTCTGGGCAAGAGACAGGGATACTGCATATTTCATTTTATATCATAAAGGAAACCTTTTTCTATAAAGATTTGTCTGTATTTTCCCAACAGTTTCAATCAAATAGACATGTTTGATTTATTTAAAATTAATGTGTTCTAAAAATAAGGTAATCTGGAGTTGTGCATTCTTCAGGTCCCCTTAGCAGGTATGCGAAGCTTCAGGTGTTAGGTTTCACAATCTTGGCACTATGGTGCTGACATAGACACAATGCCGTGTGCCAGCTGGGCCAACTGTTGATACGAAGGACAGTTAGCATGTTCTTAAGCAGCTAAAAAAAGCAAAGTAATTGTTTTTGGAACAGGTAAACTGAGATAGAGAAGGAAGTTCTGCTGAACTGTCTCATTCCAGAAGTGAATGTTTTTGCTGGTTTCCTGGCAGTGGTCGTTTCCTGTTGAAGGGGATCCCACTGCTGCAACATATTTAGTAAAGGCAAAATTGTAGCATTGGATACTGTCCATCCTTTTATTAGTATAGATTAGTTGGAGACAGAAACAAAGAATCAGGCATTATCTAGGATTATAGTTTAAATACAGATCACAGAACCATTCACTCTTTCTTGAGCAAACCTTTATATCAGCTAAGATGTTAAGGCCTGTGGAGACCTGGATACTAAGGTTGGAACTTAGACTTTGGGTGAGAAACTGGAGGACAGAGAAAGAAAAATGTGGAGAGATGGACCTTCGCATCCAAATTTTAAAACTCCCTGGAAAAACTCACATTTTAAATAAAAATTTTGTCTCCTATCCCATTTATTCTTAGTCCATACCTCCAGATGTGTCAGTGTCATGAGACCAATAGAGGAGGTTAGTGAAGGAAAGCTGTGAGCTATTTATTTCATAAATGAAGGCAATAACTTCAGAAAATCCATATGTGAAACAAGTCAATACCGATCGACACCAAACAGCATAGTTCAACAGTTGGAAAGAGAGTTCAACACTCATTTTTTTCTGAGCATCAAAGTCTGCCAGCTATAAAAATGAAGCATTCTTCCCCATAGTCACAAGAACAGAGTTTTAAGTTATTTCAATATGTGTGTAGTATAAGTGCAACATGCTCCAACCATCAAACCAAAGATGAGAATGTGTTCATGAACCCTTTCTCTAAAACAGTGATACCTCTCCAAAGGGTACATTATGAAGTACAAGTATCCCTTCCTCAAACAAAGCCCAATAAACTCATAAGACTCATGCTTAGGTGGTTCCACATGGGCTGTGACCTATCTGGAGTCTACCCAGAAGAAAATCTTCAGTGGAGGAACCCCATTTCTGGAACTCCCTGCCTCTGGAGGTCTGTCAGATAGGCATTAATATTGTGTTGTTTTAGAAAACATATTTATTTCATGAAGTCTTCCTGTTTTGTTGTTGCTGCTGTTTTACTAAAATCCTATTTTAATATAGTGTTTTATTCTTTTTATGTTAATGTTTTGATGTTTACCACTGTGGCCTGATATATAACTGTTGCAAATAAGAAAGGACTGTATCATGCCCCTATATTCTCCATAGCCTCAGATAGCATCAACACCAATATCCATGCTGAATATCTGTTGAAAGTCATTTTGGTGTAAGGCACTTCTGAATGTTCCATATATAAAATATTTTCCTGCAATCATCAGGAGGAATGGTTCTGGCCTTGCCCTTTGCCTGCTGTGCTGGTTTTCTATTTGTGTAGGAATTTGTTTTTAACTCTTACTAAAACAAATGGCATGTCTTTTGGACAAAAACAACTGCGATCTCCAATTGACATCTGAATTATGCTGTATGTTAGCACTTTGGCAAACTACCATGCTGGCAATGATGGACCAATACCTTTGGTCCTCCACACCTTTCTTGACAAGTAGCATACTCTCTCAGTCTTGCTCATGTCCCTTGTCATTTTGTCAAGCTGTCTTTCATGAAAAGGAAAAAAAGAAAAAAACAGAACCCTCCCTAGGACCTAAAATCTTGGCCAGCTAGCTTGAACAACTGCCCAATATCCAAATCTCGCCATACCAGCTTTTCTCGTTGTTTCCTGCCTAAATTCTCCAGCCTCCTAAATGGTTTCCTACTTTTCTGTTCTCCGATTTCTTGGGAGCTCTGCTGCCGAAGCCATTTTGCGCTCGCCCGAACTCGGACTTTCGCTTTGCTCTCTCGACCCTGCTTGTGCCACCTCCAGCTCAGAGTGCGACAACTGGAAGCAACAGTTACCAAGGGTGCAATACCGTGCGCCTTCAGAAAGGCACTGAACTCCTACAAATCCCAGCATTCTCCAGCCAGCATGGCCGGCTAAGGTGTGCTGGGAGTTGTAGGACCTTCCCCTCCCCGCTTAAACATGCACAGGTTTGTAGCCTTACTCGGAAGTCCTGAGTATGCTTGATGAGTATTGCAATGCGAGCCTAAGGCACACTTAGCTCACAGCAAGTCCTAGTGAAGCATGCACGGGGATAGGATGCAGCTCTCCCCTCTCACGAAGTGCGTGTATTTGTGTGCGCCTCCCTCCAGCCCCTAAGAGGGGATGATAGGGTACCATTAAGTGTACTTTGGGAAACCCGCCTCATCTTTGGCAAGCTAGGAGTTGGTAGGGTGAACGTACGTGGGCTGCTCGTAACAGAGCTGCCTCAAGTGACCCTGCTAACCAACGGGAGAGGGGGGCAGGCAAGAAACAAAAGGGGGCGGAGAAAGGGGGCATATGCCTTGGGGGGGGGGGGTGGAAAAGAGAGAGGGCGGGAGAGGCAACGAGGGGCATGGCTGTGGGGAGGGGGTGTCAGGCAGTCAGCTACCCAATGGAGAGCGAATAGGCAGAAGAAGAGGCCGAGGGAGAGAGAGCGCCGGCCTGGGGCCCGACCCCCTTAGCCGGGTTGCTGCAAGCGTGTGCGAAGCCTTCCTCATATGTGGGCTGGCGGCGGTAGTCGCCTCGCTGCCCCCCTCGCGCCCCTGCGAAGACGGAGGGCGAAGAAGGAGGCGGAGGAAGCTGCAACGCCAGGAGCAGGGAGGAGGAGGAGGAGGAGGAAGCGGAGGCGACCGACGAGAAGGGAGCCTGGCAGAGGCGGAGCCGGCGCTCTAGCCCGGCCGGCCTGGACTTCGCGCAGCACGGCCGCCGCCGCCGCCGCCGCCACCATCGGCAGCAGCTCCCGGTGAGTCCGATCGATGCACGGTGCCCGCCCTGCTCCTGTCTCCAGCCTCCCCTTGCAGGCCGGCGCGCGCGCGCACGCCTGCTCTGCAGGGAGGGAATCCGGGCGCCGGGGGATCTCGGGGAGCCAGGCCGGAGCAGGGAAGCGGCGGCCTCCAGCTGGGAGATCTGGCCTGGCCTGGCCTGCCCTGGGTTCTTCCCCGCCCGCGGTCAGCCTGGCGCGCTCTTCCTCCACCTCTCTTTTGTTCCATCTGGGGCTTGTCTTTGCGCGGCCGAGGCCTGTGGAAGGCGAGGGGGAGCGGGAGTGGGGGGGAGCGGGGCCGCACGGTGGCCTGCAAGGGGGCGGGCAGGCAGAGTCATAGCCGCGCCGGAGGACTCTGCCCGCAGTGAGAATCTGGGCCCATTGTGCGGGTGGCGCCTTGGACCCCTCCGCCCGCCTCGCAGGCGAAAGATCCCCGCGGGGGCTGGAGAGGTGCCGGCTCAGGGCCATTCCTGCCATCCCAGGCCCGAAGCAGCCAGAAGAGGCGTCTGCATCGCTCATCCTGTGCAGTGCAAAGGGATCTGGGGAGCCTGGCTCACAAACTTCATCGCAGCGTTACGCCCTCCTTGCAGAGTGTTTGTTTGTGTTTCAACCACCACCCCAAACCTTTCCTTCCTCCAGCCTCTCCAGTTTCAGACAATTCAGAACAAGGAGAAAACGTTGTGTTGTTGAGCAGCTGCTAGGTGGCTTTGAAGCCTCTCTCAGCGGGAGGGAGATGGAGCTTCCTGGGAAGAGAGGGGAAAAGCTGAAACTGGGGAGATCTGGAGAACTCTCATACAGCCTCACTGTAGCCCCACACTAGCCTCTGTTTTCCCATACTGCAAACAATGGAAAGGCTAGACAACTGATACTAGCTTGAGGTAGGCCTCTGAGTTTCACAACCTCATTGAGTTGTGTGATCCTTCTAATGTAAACACTCATTCACAGACCACATCACTCTCTCACTCACCTCCATCTTGGAAAGTGTCTCTGACAGTGGCTGTCAAGGGCAGTCCCAAAATTCAGAGTAGAAATCTCCATTGGGCTAACTACAGTTTGTAAAGGAATATGCACTTTTTTCTAGTTTTGCAAAATTGCTTGGGCAGAAGATGTTCTAATGGTTTTATAAATCTTTTATTTGAACTTTTGCTAAACTATTTTTTTTTCACACTACCTTCTTTGCTCTCTATCTTAGTATCTTAGGACCATCCATAATGCATGTTGCATATCCACATTAATAGATTAACAAAGTTCTGACAATGGTGGAAAGGTCCACCCATCAAAATAGGTCAAACTGTGACAAGTGATTAGTGTATTTAAAAAGGAAATAGAAATAGCATTGTATACATGCTCCCTAGTATCATTAATGTTTACTTTATTTTCTGAACTTGTGTTGTGGTTCCTCTTCTATATCTACTTACAGATGTTAAAAAATAGCATAGCTAACAAATAATGTTTTTGTTTGTAGTGAATATTTTAAAGAAAATAACTTTTAATGAAAAATGTGTACCAGGACTTTTTGCAAGTGATGTAATTTGCCAGAGAGCAAAAATTTTAAAAAATCAGTCACTTGAGTAATCAGTTATTGGTCTTGAACAAAGGTGCAGGGTAGTTTCATTTTTCACCCTACCTCTCCTTCTAAGCACAATGGCCCAATTTATCAGCTGGGCAGAGGACATCTGTTTAAGATTCTGTGCTTTCAGTCTGGCCTTTGAAGGAGTTTCATTTAGGGATACTGACAATCTAATTCTCTAGATACTGGTCTTCTGACAGAGACGCTGCTTATTCTGAGCTTTGATCCCCTTAGTTGAAAAAAAGACTACAGGGAGCTCGAAGGTATTTTTCAGACATCTAAAACACACAAAAAGATATTGTATTCTTGGTGTCATAGCTGCATAAGACCAAATTGCTGCTAGTTGAGCAATATCCTATCCTGTTCCCATTGTATGGGAATATCAGTGGAAATGGAAAAGGGTACCCTTGTTTGCCCGCTTGTTGCTATGGTTTAAATGAGGAATGGGATACAATCCTGGAAAGAATTAATGCACCTAGCACTAAATATTAATCAAAAGGTTCAATAAATGGTATAGAATCTTCTTTAGGAAAGATATTGGTGTTATTCAACGTTCACCAGAATCCTCTAAATTTTTAAAATGCTACATGAGGTAGCATTTTATATCAGGAGGTCCTGCTGTTGTGGCACAGTAGTGAAAACTTAATCTCATTGAAAGAAAGAAGGACGGAAAGAAAGAAAGAAAGAAAGAAAGAAAGAAAGAAACCTTAACATATCTCACAAAGTGTCAGAGATGGTGTTATTGCTTACCATCAGTGATACCAGTAATGCATAAGCACAATATGAATGGCACTCTAGAAAACAGTGGAAAAGTTGGAAGGAAAACACTTTTAAAAGTGATAAAATGTTGCAGTTTTAATTCACTGCAAAAACTAATTAACACCTGGGTGTTTATTTCATTGTTGATTACTTATGTTAAAAGGTACTTAAGTATACTTGCACTTCTCTGTTTAGTTCATTGCCATCATTGCTCTACTCTAAAATAATTTTGCTCCTTCTGTGTTTGCATTTCATATATAAAGTAAAAAGGAATACTCTTCCATAAATAATTTACTTGACATCATCATGACCCAGTGAATTATATGAATTACTCTCACTTCTTCAAATAGTCAACTTTTATAATTACTCTCACCCCAAATTTTACATTGCATTTCATTACATTGTTGATTTCCCTTAACTGCAAATTTAGAGAATTAAAGCAACTAACATATTAACAAAATGAACATATGACACAAAGCTTCTGGAAAAATATCATTAGAGGTGAAATTGTTTTGAAAGATTTATATTTATGTTAATTAAAGGCATTTGTTTCATATTTTGTATATGGGCAGTATCCAGAGTTGCCATTACACTAGTGACAATGACTGCTAGTGCAGTGAGGAGCTAGCACTTCCTGGAGTAGCTAAAAACTAGACAGAAGTAACATTTCTGGATCCAAGCAAGTCAGCAGAGCTTACAAAAGAGAACCCCACTGACCTGTCTTGTTCTAGAAATGCTAGTTTCAGTTAGTTTCCAGGTTTCTCAAGAAAGTGTTAGCTCCCTGTTGTGCTAGCAGTTGTTCCTAATAGTAAGGACTAATGAGTTCTGATAGACTGCCAGCTCTGAGTACTACCCCCTGTTTTAATTAAATCCTAGGAAAGGTTTAATTCAAGCTGGTTGGTGGGGAGGGGGGGTTGGCCCTTTTTTGGTAAATTAAGGATTTCATACTTATGAATTCACTGTCCCCTACAGAGTTTCAGATTTGAAGTATAGTATTTAAAAGTTGGCATGATCACATGCGTGTTTAGTTATGAGAAAGTCTTACTGCGTTCAGAGAAACTTCTCAGTATGTATGCATGAGATTGTAGCTTTGGCTCTAATATGCATTTGTGTGTTATTAACAGCACAGTCTTGTGCATACAATGAGTAGGACTCATTGAACATAGTGGGACTTAATTCTCAGTATATATACCTAGGTTTGTTCTGTAAATAGAGTTAGAGTTAACTTTAAAAGAAAATAATGGCAGAATAAAGAATTAATACCATGTGAGTAAAACTTTGTCAAAACACTAAAATGAAATCATTATCATATAGCTTGGTGGCACATTGGAGAAGTGTCATGTCAGCAAATGTAGACAAGAGGCTGTATTAGAAAACAAATTTGGTTTGTTGTTCACAAAACACCCCAATTAAAGTGCATACTGAATTTTATTTACAATAGTATCAAGCAGTAAAGGAAAATGGAGCTAATGTCATGTAAGCAACTTTACATGACAAGTTACACCTGCCTCTTTTTAACAGTATATATAAAGCTATTGGAAGAACAAGTCTTATTGAGTTCTTCAAACTGAATATTCATTAAACATGTTTAAATAACAGCACTGCCGTCATTCACAAAAAGTATTTCTCTGATCTTCTAACAGGTAAACACTATGATGTTGGTTATGCTTTATCTCTTTCAAGTGGTGGAATGAACATTTTAGTGAAAGTATTCCATGGATGAAATTTTGGGTTATAAAAGATGCACGCTATTTTAAGATGCTAGAATCCTGGTCAGAATTTAATTCTGACAACAGTTATAATTTGTATTGAGTAAAGGGCCAACTCAGTCTGCTATTCCTGATATTTATTTTATTTCATAAATCTTTATAAAATTAAAACATTTTTTAAAAAACTGGGTAGCTTGCATGCTACAAATCGGAGGGCTTCCCTCCAATGCCATCTTCATTTGGATTCATAAGAAAGAAGAAGTGTTGGTTTGTTTGTTTGTTAGAGCTCAGTCCCATCCACTGCTTAGCCTTACCATTCTGCCTTCTGTGAAATGAGTGTTTTCATACTGGTGTTTTCCACGATGGTTACTATTTTATGAATGGGTGAGGCCTCCCTCATGACAGTCATTTTCTGAGAGTGCTTTCAAGGTTCCATGTGTGCCCATTGACCCAAAAAGTTTGGGAAACCATAACTCCTTTGACAGAAGGCTAGCTCATACATTGCTAGGTACTAGTTAACGGTTGATCGTTCACAATGAATTAACCATGAACTAAGTCCATTGTATCTGATATGAAAGTTTTATCTGTGGTGCTTTATCTGCAATAGCTCATTAGTCACCACAATGCTGCAGTAAACATACATGTGCAAACTGGCCTTGTGTCCCAGATTTATGGAATAAAAATGAAAGTAGTAATCATTTGATTGCCTTGCTTCTGTAGTTAATAGCAATTTTAGGGCCTGAAAATAACAGGTTTGAACTATTCTATGGGGGAACATCTCCAGGTCAACATGCATGGTATAAAGTTGTATGCACCAAGTTGCATGAATAAAGTTAGAACACATTCACACCATCACTAGAACAAGTCATGCATTTCAGGGTGGTTTGTAAACCGCTTCAACCACTTAGTCTTGCTGGGTTCATATACCATGACAACCTGTGGCAAACGTAATTATGCTAATTGAGCACCTACAAGTAAAGAACTGAAACTCTGATGATGTTAAGATTTTGATTTTTTTTAAAGCCTTTATTTCTTTGTTATATTTCTAGCCTTGCTTTTCTTCCTGCAAAAAACCTAAGTCTACTCACACGATCTTCCTTGTCCTCACCATCTTATTCTTACAGCAACCCTTTGAGGTGGGCTAGGCTGAGAATATATAACTAGCTCAAAGTGGAAAGTAGAACTCAGGATTCTTGAGTCTTAGTCCAACAGTGTAATCAGTAGGTGCCACACTGGCTGTCCTTCAAAAATACAGAAGGAGCAGGGATGGAAAAAATTATGTAAGAAATCTAAAGAGATTGGGGTCTGTTCAGCAACCGGTGTGGAGATCTAGATTAAACTGTTGGAAGGGTTACAACAGAGAAAACCAAAATCTGAAAGCAGGTAATTCTGGCAAAAGGAAGTTGGGTTTGTTATATGGAAAGAGGAAGACCACATCAAAAACATAAAATTCATTATTGCTGCTTGTATACTTCTAGCTAAACAATTAGCTCATTATTCGGAATCAAGGTGAGAAAGTCAGTCATCTTCACCTCTCTAGGATATAGTGGACTAAGCCACAACAAGTTCTGCAGTATGCATACTTTTGGTGCCAAATCCCTCTTTTGTAGTTTCCACCCAGGCATTCTTAAACTACCTGCAGCTTGACTGCTAGGTTCATGAGAGTATGGCATGAAGCTGCATTATGTTAGAGAACATTCACAACACTAAGACTGCAATTCTGCACATATTTACCTGGAAGTAACTCAAGTTGAACTCAGTGTGGATCAGTCAGTTTGGAACAGCACTGGAAATGTGGTATAGTTGCTTTTAGCATGCTTTGACTGCCTTTTGGATTCTTATTCATAATTTTAACACTACCCTTTGTTTATATACCTATCTGAACATTAGATACTCTTCTCTGGCTGCCCTAGTCAATTGAAGTGTGACAAATGGCTACTGAAAAGAGTCTGGATGGGTGGCTACTAGAAAGAGGATAGTAGTTCCTGGTTGAGGTCTGCCTTCCCCAGAAAGGCTCACCAGACATCTTTTGGCATCAGGTGAATACTCTTTTCCCAGGCATTATAATCGTAAGAACTTTTTATGCCTTTATAATGTTTTGCCATTGTTCTTGTAACTGTTTTAATTTGGTTGGTTGGTTGGTTGGTTGGTTATTTATTTATTTATTTATTTATTTATAGCAGCCTAGTCTGATAGACTTTTCTTTTCACACTCTAGTGAACTAAGACCTAGATGACTATCATGTGCTCTATGAGAGACTGCATTTAAAGCTGGTTTAGAAAATTCGACAGGTACCAATGAGGCTTCTCAAGTGCTGTTGAGTATCAGATGCTTAAGTCACATGACACCTATACTGTCCAGTTGTACTGGCTGCTGAAGCATTTCTGCATTCAGTTGAAAACACTCACATTTGCCTTTAAAGCCCCAAATTCTTCAATCTAATTTAATTGTTGAATTTTTCTATTATTGCACTTGTTGTTACTATTTTATTATGTTTCATGGTGATGCTATGGGAAATGAATATGAAATCAGAACCACTGGAATAACTATAAATAATTCAACAGAAGCTACCAGCCTGCACATATTTTTGCTAGCCATCTAAGAGACCAGTTGCCTGTATTTTCATGCTGAACACAGGCTGCTGAAGACAGGAATCAGTTTCTCTTCCTGTTTGCACTACTAGCTTTCTACCAAATGAACAGGGATGGAGGTGAAGGATACATATCTCTTCCTTCATGGCCAGCAAAGTAGATGGGTGGAGGAAGTACATGGAGCTTCATTCTACTAGCTCACTCATATTTGTGGAATTCCTTGTTGCCTATGGCCCCAATGAGGCTAGTATGCTCATCTTGACTCATCTCAGTCACAATCTCCTGTCCACCAAATCAGTTACAGCCTCCTAGGACAGGTCCAGATACATTAATCTATCCTCAGTTTTATGTGGGCATTACGTATATAGATTGGGTCTCTATGGTGAATAAGTGTGATTGGTTAAAGATAAAGTTTGATGTTGCAAACTGATTTGGGCAGGATCCAGTTGCACATCCCAGTGAAAGTGACTGGGTACACATGTGGAAGCAGGCAGGTTTTGTTTTTTATTTTTGGCTTCCATTAGATTACAGTTATGGCCAAAAAATTCTGTTCCACAGCCAGTTGTCTCAGCTGCATTGTCAGTCTTACAGATCTTTGCATGCATTTATGGTAGCAAACCTCACTTGTACATTACTAAATCAAAATGGAATTTCTTTCTCTAATTTTGCTAGCTGAAGACAGCAAAATATAAAAATATGACATTGAAACCTTTGTTCTCTTTTGGAGGATAATTAACTATTCATGCAGTTGTGCTGACATTGTATTTGCATCTCATGCTTTGTATTTTTTTTTCTTTAAAGCAAAAGACAAAAAGAAAATAGTTGCAAGATTTTGTTTGCACAGCTCTCAAACTTAGTCAGAAGCTCTGTCCACACTGCACAATTCACCAACTGTAAGGGCGCAGTCCTGAGGGCTTGCCACATTATTGACAGAACACGCAGAGTTTGGAATTTTCTACTCATACCAGACAGGGCAGAAACCATCATTAAGGCTAAAAAGCTTTATGTTGTTCCTGTCAACTGTGTTTAGCTGGACAGTCCTCTGAACCTATTCAGTTTGCAGGCTCATCCAAGGGTACAGCTGGGAGTGGAAAGGTTTGTGGATCCTGTAGGGTCAATTGCCTTTCAGTTGCTCGCTTCCATGCCCACCCTCCCCAATCTTTCTTCCAAGATCACAATAGCCTTCTTGGAAAGAAGCTTCTATGAAACCGTCATGGGTAGGAGTGGTGAGGGAAGTAAATTTCTCATCCAGATGATCTTGCCTTTACAGGTGGAATCTGCTACATCTTCTGGTCCCTGGCATAATGTCTTAGAGATCATAGGACTGCACTGTAAAAGTAACAAACTCTGGGGGGAAAATGTTTTTGCAGAGCTTTGTTTTTTCAGCAACATTAAACTCACCATGTAAGTTGCTTGGCTAAAGTGATATTTAAGTTTAGAGCAGTTCACTGAAAAGGTGCTAACAGCTGTTTCTAGGAGTTTCTAGGAGTTTCTAGGAGCAAGCCTTTTGTGAGGATTTTGTGAGTATGCTTTTCCTTATTCCATCTGTTTACATCTATGAGTATTTATAGGATTAACAGATTATACTCAGAAATAAAATTTGCTGAATTCAGTGGGGTTTACTCCCTAGTTATTTAAGACAAATAAATACTTCTTTGTTGCTGTACAGAACAGCACAATTATATGGAAGTGTGCAGTGCATCTCATTGACTATCCTTTGTCATGTCATGTAGATAGTTGCTTTCAGGGTTTTTTCCAGAGCAAACAGAGCCATTTGTCATATGGATTGCTGATAACTATTTTAAACATCTTACATAACAGTGTTGTGCTAGAAGTAAATACTTACAGGTGAGATTATGATGTACAGGACAAAGAGAAGGAGAGACAAAGTATGATGAGAATGTTCTGAAATCAACCTTGTGAGCTGAAGTGAAGTAGCAAAATACTCTAGAAAATAAGTTTCTAGTAACTTTTAGTCAATAATTACAAAGTAGCATCAAAGTAAATACATTGGAAGCAAATGGTCTATTCCTATAGTTTCCTGTTAAGAGTTTTCTGTGCTCAGATTCATTATCTGCTATATTAAGCAATTAATTCAGGATGAAAAACCGAATCTTGTTAGTCACTGTGTTGTCTTTAATGGGACAGTATAATTTTAATTTTAAATTTTATGTTGTAAGATATTATTTGTCTTGCAGTTTACAGAGCCCTTTAAATAGAATACAGTATAAAATATAGAAAACAGTAAATGTATTATAAAAATTACTCTGTAACATATACAAAGCAAATTTTAAAAGCTACAATAGCTAACAAAAATCACAAGAACTATTAAACTGTTGATTTAATACTCATATATACTATTTAAAACATATTAAATGTCCAGCCACAGAGGATAATCTTAACCAATTGCAGAAAAGATAGCACAAGGCAGGTCTCACTGGGGACACCATAATGAGGGACACCACTGAGAAGGCCCTTTGCTCTGTTGCCACCAACCAAATCAGTAGGACACTACACTCTGGCACTGGTGATGCCAGGGTGCAGGACACGGAATAATAAATTCAAATTGTGACAGCCCAGATTAATGCTGAACATCAGGAAAAGCTTCCTCACTATCAGAGCAATAGAAGAGTGGAACCAGCTGCCTGGAGATGTGGTGGGCTCTCCCACACTAGAGACATTCAAAAAGAAACTGGAGAGCCACCTGAGTGGGATGGTGTAACGTGGTGTGTCCTGCAACAGTTGGACTTGATGGCCTTCATGGTCTCTTCCAGCTCTACTATTCCATGATTCTACGAAATTTCCCCCAGAGGTTGCAGTCAGAAGCAGGTGCCAGATCATATGGATATTTTCAACATTTTAGAAGAGAGGTGGAGAATGTGTTGTTGTTTGGCTACAGTTTCCCTCAAATCCCAGCTAGCATAGCCATGAGGGATGATGGGCATTACAGACCAGCAGCACTGGAGATCCACATAGTCCTCATACCAGCTAAGAATAGTGAATGATGAAATCTTCAGCTTTCTGTCCTAGTTTTTTGAGAAAAAACATTGAATCCCATTTTAGAAATGATTTTGGCACATACAGATCACCTGTTTTTCCTTGGAAGCATTAGGGCAGGCTAAAGGATAGTGTCCTGTATTTGCTGTCATATTTGAACTTGCTTCATCCACAGTGTTCTTCATGATTGTCTGAACAGACAATGCAGTAGACAAATAGTTTAAATTTTGCAAATGTTGCAATACAATGGCTATGTTGACTTTTTTAAGATCAGAAACATCCACTGTAGTATTTTTTACCTCTCTCATACCTTCTGAACAGATTGGAATGTTGACTGATTTTTTAAAAACTTACTTGGATATAGGTGTGGTTCCTATATGAACATTACAATCATTTTATAATGTTTATTGCATTATTGACAATGTCATTTTATACCATTCAATAGTCAAAGCTCTTTGGGAGATTCACAATTCATAAAAATGCATTGCTTAATTACAATAAAACAGCATAAAGTAGTATATTGTTCAAATACACACACATTTTTTTTACAAAAAATAACAGAAGCTTCTTAATATAACTAGGCTTTCTTTCTTTGCAGAATCTTAATCCTGACAGTGGGTTTCACACCGCCCACTGCCACAGTGCTTTTTCAACTCATGGCCAAAATTGCCCTTATTCCAGGAAATGACCTTAAATATCCAAACAAGGCTGCAGCACACATAGTAGTAAGTTCAGTGGGATTTACTTCTGAGTAAACATGCATGAAGTTGGACTGTTAACAAAATTTAACAATTAGCAATGCTAAGTTTTACTAACAGGTGTAATAACTCCTTTATTGCAAAGTAACTTTAACTTCCTTTGAAATCTGTTTCCCCATTTCATATACCAGTATGAGGATTTTAATAATGTCATCTGAAGCATGAACAAAATGGCTATCGCAAATATAAAGTATCTTGTAGAAGTACATAAAGTCCTTTAACATAGACCTAACTTTTATTTGCTTTAAAAGCTGTACAAAAAGGAATTTTTCAGTGGTTCTGTTTTCTGCCTCAAAAAGAGTTCATTTGCTGAATTAATAATTGTGTGCTAAAATGAAACTCCCATCCTGTTTTATTATAACTGAGTTTCTTCTGCATTGCATTTATTGATGTCATTAAAATGGTAACATTTTCTAAATTCCTGCGGTAGGTTGAGATAAATATCTGCATTGTAAAGGTGCACTCATATATATGTACAGACTGAAAAAAGTTCTACAGTTCCCAGAATTTGTCACTTCTGGCTGGGAAATGCTAAGAGTTGTATGACTGTTTTCTGTTTAAATATGCATAGGACTGCAGCCCAAGAGAATTGTTCAAATGTAGGCTTGGAAATTATTTCTCAGCAATGTATGCAGTTATGAGCAGTATCTAGCAGTTGCAAAACAGATTTGTTTACGTATTACATGCACAGCAGTCCACAATCCAATCCAGTAATGTCAGAATCGTAATTACAAACTCCCTTTGTCAACATTGTAGGAACCTGTAATTAAAAACACAAATAGCAGGCTTTGTCATTAGGTAGCAAATTCAGTATCAGCCATGCACTCTTCCTATATCCTGATATATGGTGGCTGATCTTTCCACAGACTTGATTTTGTTCTGAAACCATGAAAGACTTCAGTATATCTGTTCCACATTTGTGAGTCAACAGAAGTCCCAGGAGTATCCACAAAGCTTGGTGGATCACACAAAGTTTATCCAGTTTGATGTTCTGTGCACACAGAGAACTACTGTGTAGGCAGGTGGTCCTTCTGAATATTCAAGCCTTGGCTTGTCATGTCATCTAAGCCCAGGAACTGTGGATTATGCCAGGGTTAAACAACCCTCAAGTAATCCAACTGTAGACCAACTAGGATCATTTAACCTCATATAATTCATAGCCCCTGGGCTGAAGCAATACAACAAGCTGTGCCAGTGCTGTACATATTCAGAGATCACTTGGCATGCGCTGCAATTCAGTATGGCTTGAACAAGCCCAGCAGGCAACGGTGATGCTGCACACTGGGCAAAATGCAGCCCTCATGAGTAACTGCTGTTCATATCCTTATCCTCCCTGAATTTTTCCCGTCCCTGTAAAGCCATCCAAATTCATGCCATCACGTGAAGATCAGAGTACCAGTGGCCAAGCAGCATTTGTAGTATCAGAGGCAGGATGGTGCCAGTTACGAGGAGCAGGAGGGTCCTAGTTGCATACCTTGGGCTTCCAGGAGACATCTGGTTGGAGAACAGAATGCTGAGCTAGACAGGCCTTCGGTCCATGCTTTTCGTGTGTTCTCTTTAGCAGACTTCTGAAAATAGTCTGCCCCTCCCCGCCAAGCAGTTGAGAATTGTGTAGGTCACCGAAAGATGACTGGAAGAGGTATTAAAGCAACTAGACATTTTAAAAAACTAAAAATGGGGAAAATTGCTAAGTGTGCCCTAGTACATGACTTTAAAAAGATTAGATTCAGGCGTACATTCAGCAGACTTGATGCTGGGGCTAAAGGAAGGTGTCTGGGCAGTGATTTTCTCTAATTGCCCTTTCCCACTGTAGTCCACAGTATCACCTTCCATTTTTTTTCAAAGACATGGAGGAAACTTACAATGGAACCAAGTTCCCTCTGCAAATGGTTTTTCTGTTTCTGCAAAGGGTAAGTCAAAGATAGATGCACCTTTTGTCAAGCAAACTATTTACATAAGTGATTTTTTACAAAATTTTTGTTGAGCTGGTTAAACCTGAGTTTACACCATTTTGTATGATTTGATTTGTTTTAGCTTTTACCTCTTAAACGCTGTCAATGTGTGAAAGGCTTTTAGTTTAAAAGAGAATAGCAGGACATTTCTATAATTGGATTTAGACAGTATAGTTTTTTACTGATATAATCAATCTGTATAAATTCTGTACCAAGACCTGAAATACATGTTACAGACAAGGTCAAACATACATCCTTCTTGGGAGGCAAAAGCAATTTGGAGCAGGGAAATGGTAGACCTTTGTGGACTGTATTCTTTAAAAAATGGTCTAACACTAGGCACTGTAACACGATCTGTATGCTTCAGTTTCAACAACCTTCATTCTAGCACAAAAATAAATTGGTTTCTATTCACCTGTCATTTTCTGTACAAGCTGTTTTACTATTTAATGATATGAATGTTTTCATACATGAGAAAGTTTTGTTGTCTTTCTGTCACTTTTATGCCTATTCGCAAAAGTGAATTTTGCAGCAGCTTCAATAAAAGGGCCTGAGAGTTACTAGTTGTGCTGACAGAGCATGTTGTCGACAGGCAGGTCTTTCTCTTGAACTCAGATATTCCTGAAATCTGATTTGTATGTATATGTCAGTGTGTCAGCATAGGCCCGTTTATCAGCAGTGATACTATGTGGACAAAGATAGGCTAACCATAGTTATCCACGCTCTAGTAACCACTTGTTGGTATTACTGCAGTGCATTATAGGAGTCTGCCTTTGGAAACAAAGTTCAGCAGGTCCAAACTAGGACAGCAAGATTGTCAATGCAGACTGATTTATATGATCAAATTAGAGCAATGCCTTATGTTCTGCACTGACTACCAGTCCATTCTGCACCAAATTCATAGTGCTGGTATTAACTGATAGTGTTTTGTTATAATGTGGAAACTAAAGTATTATTATACTGTGGTTTTTTAAAGAAGAGTTGCCTTCCATATATACCTACATGCACCCTAAAACATGCAGAGGTCTTCTTAGGATGTCCCCATTGAATGAGGTGATATTGGTGATCATCAAGAAGAGGTCTTTTTCAGTGGCAGCACCATGTTTGTAGAATGATTTCCCAATAAGGCCAACATGCTGCCTTCATCATAGTAGTTTCAGCGCCTGGTGAAGACCTCTTATTTTTTCAAACATTTTAGCTCTTCAGTTTTAAAAATCACACAGTGTGTTTTTGGATCTTTGCAATGGTACTGGCATTTTTCTTGGTGCTATTCTGTTTTAAATTTAAGGTATGTTACATTTTACTATGTTGTTTTTGTTATTACATTGAATTTATATCCCTCCCATTTTCTTCTTATGAGGTTAGCAAAGAGCTTACATAGCTCAATTTTACCCTAACAAGAACCCTGTAAGGTAGGTTGGATTGAGTAACTGCCCCAAAGTCACCCAGTGAATGTCATGTCTGAGTGGGGACTAGAATCCAGTTCCCCAGTCCAACAATCTAACCACTATGCCACACTAGTTGAATAATCCTTATTTTATGGATTAAGCTTTACTTTTTGCTAATGGGTGCTATAGAAATGTCATAAATAAATGAATAAAAAGTAAGCATTTTATATTGTATACTAAGAGATTTGAAGAAAAAAATGGGAAGATGACAAAGGATTGCATTTTTCCACATTTCATTGATCTTTTTTGATTTATTTTCTGCCTTTTACTTCTCAGTGTTTTATTAAATTTGCATTTCACTGTTCACTGAAGGTGCTCAAGACACAATACTCTTGTCCTTTTTGCCCCATTATAAAAACACTTTAAAGTAAATTTGAATCAAATGTTGTGACTTGTGTAAGGTCACTTGCCATCAAGTGTGCTTCATGATTGAGTGAGATTTGAACCTAAATCTCTTCAGTGCAACTGACTTTTACCAGTCTGTTTTAATTTAGGACATCTTATGTCCTTAGGATACAAATTACATATTTATTTGAAATTGCATGATGGCAATTCATACAAGGTCTTTTATTTTCTTTGAGCTCAGAAAAATCCTGACAGCCAGAGAAATTATACAGCAGAATGATGTAGAACTTAATGATCTCATTATGTAGAGTTCAAACTGTTCTGTGGCTTCTTAACTATGATAAGCATAAATCAAGGTTGAACAGTAGCTATATCTGGATCTACCCCTGATTTGGAATAGATTGTCAAGGATTATATGCTCCCAGCTGCGTCACTAACAGCAACAAAATGCCACCCAGACCCACACAGAAATAAAGAAAGCCTTTGGTGACTAGGAATGGATTTTTGTGTGCAAGGATTCTTTATTCTGTTCAATTATAGTTGTGGGGAAAAAACCCAATCTTAAAATACTTTAATTCTAAGTATGTATCATTTTCACCAGGCATTAGCTCATATAGCCCAAAGACTGCCCACCTTGGCATTAAATCATATTTTGGCATGATGTCTGAACTGAGTATTTATAATTGTATTGAGTAGGTTTGATAAAGATGTAACAACAAACCATGGTTTGCTATCCTGAAAATGAGCCTGGATGAGCTTCAGACTCATGCAGATCTAAGGCTTAGAAAGATTCATTTTGGAGAATGCAATAAGGTTTATAGCGTTTAAGGTGTGATTAAAAACACCTTAGTTCAGAATATAAAATAGATGCTTCCAGTCCTCTTGTGGTTATACCAGAGAGGAGTGGGTATCTATCAGTCCAAGCCTTGCTGCTGGTCTTTGGCATGTTGCTTAGCATGCAATGTTAAACCATGATTTAGTGTTAAATCTAAACCAGGTCATTCTGTTTGTAACTGTACTTCTTTTGAGTGATTTGGAATTATGATCTAAAGCATAATGTTTAGGACTGTTTCTTAGACTTTCGTGAAATGTTGAATGTTGCAGTTGATGCATTTGTTGAAAATTATTGCATTTAAAAAGGAAAAAATGCATTATTGGAAGGACAGACTTCATATTGTAATATTTCTTAATAATCAGATAATTATTCTTATTTGAATATAAGCACATATTTGTCTTCTACACATATTTTAGTCATATACTATGGTAAGTCACTGGGACCTTAATGTCATTCTCAAGGTTAAGTACTAAGTCAGTGGCTGGCCAGAGCTAAATCCAATTAAAATAAGAGAGAGTCCTCTTATTGAAATCAGTGACTTTAGATCAGAGCTGTAATTGATTAAATGACATGGTTTATCTTTGAGCAGACAATCTGGTACCATATAACACATACAAGGTTATTCCACAGAGAGATACTTGCTAATGTTTTCAAGGACCTAATCCAGAGTACTTGCTTGTGACTCCTAGAGCTGTTAAAGAAGTGTGATAAAATGTGTTCAAATACTCTATGCTAAAGCTATATAGTCATGTATTACTAGCTTATTTGTTTATATATTTACGTTTGTACAGTTTCCCCAGTTGTTGGATGTTTCCTTATCACAGTTTGTTATTATATGAATATCTGATGAAAGCTATAGCACAGTGTGGATTTATAGCTCCTATTCTTGCCTGAAGGTAAAAGCCAGAATGGTTTGGGGCATTTATCTAGACTCTAAAGTTGAATTTGTGATGAGCTCATTTATTATGACTTTACTGAGTTACCAGAATCAGTGGTATGAATAGTGATGCATGACTTTTGCATGTGCTGTGATGCATACTACCCATCCAATTACTATTTCTGATTTACCAGAGTAAAGCCTGCAAATATACTTGCTTGCAAGGCTTAAACTTTCTTGCAAGTGAATGACTTCCACTGATTTCTTTGGAAAAAAATAATTAAGGATCAGAAATACCTGGGCAGAAACCATATTATGCTTACCTCAGTGATGTCCATGATTGCAGTCCTTTTACTTTCTTTGCAGAATTTGCAACTTAGGTTGACTTGGCATTAGGAGAGGAAAAGAATTTTTTCCCCCTATCTCATGTCTATTTGATTGCCTGCAAACTCTGAAAAGGTTTTTAAACCTTAAAAGTCTAGAGAAGAATGTAATGGTTATAGGGCTCTGCTGGCAAAGTCAGTCACAAAAAGGTGTGAACTATAAACACTGGAACAGCTTCTGATAAGTTCCTTCTCAAAAACACTGTGATTGGAAGTAAAAGGGAGAGCCCCGTTCAAGTCATTTCCTGGTTGGAAGCGAGAGCTCACATGCACAAAACTACATTGGTCTCTCTCTCCAATCCCTGCTTGGTATTTTTCTTTTAGCAGGAGCTTGCCTGTGAGAGGGTCATATTGGTTTTAGCAGCACACTAAAAACTAAACCTTCAGGGACATTAACACAAATCCTCCTTGATCTGGACTACTACAGAAAAGAATTGCATTATTTGGAAGGTCTTCTGAATATTTCTGAAGTAAACAGCTATAGTTAGGGCTTGCTTTCAAAACTAAATCAGGAACCATAGAATTAATTGGGTACCCAATTTTTATTTGGAGGAAAATAGAAACCTTACCTTACCAGTTTTATTATCACAACTTATTATGATTAATGCTAAACTAGAAACTGAAGGAGAAGCCTTGTGAGAGAAGAGACAGCTCATTCATGCACATCCTTAGCTAATTTACAGTCCTCCAGAATGTAGTTTTCATTTTAATTCAGAGTGTGAAAACAAATCCAAGAAAAGCAAAAATAATCAATATACAATATTTTTTCATATATCATGAGGATGAATTACTGATGGTTAATTATGTATTGTGTATCACTAAAAGAAACTTTTTTTAAAGCTTCGTCCATGGGGAGAGTGAATATTGGGTGAAAAAAAATGGGTGTGGAAGAAGATTTTATCCTCCTTTCATGTTGCTATTGATCCAAATTAGGGGTGTGCTCAGCTACATTGTACTTAATTAATGTAATATGAGATTTGATCCTTCCATGACATTTATTGTTTGTTTGTTTTTATTCAGGAAATGGGTCTTGGAGGTTCAATGAGACTGGTTAAGGCACATCAATGAAGAAACTTCTGCTTTATATGTTTTAAGGACAGAACTCCAGAATTAATCAGCCAGACCTGCTGTACTTTCATAATGAAGAAAATTAGTCTCAAGACCATTCGTAAGTCTTTTAACTTAAATAAGAGCAAAGATGAAAGTGACTTCGTTGTGGTTGGACAACCATCATTAAATGATTTTGGAAAAGATGACTCTTTGTTTGGCAGCTGCTATGGTAAAGATTTAGCTACTTGTGACATCAACAGTGAAGATGAGAAGGGTGGCAAAAACAGATCAAAGAGTGAAAGCTTGATGGGTACGTTAAAAAGAAGACTTTCAGCAAAACAAAAGCAGAAAGGTGGCAAAGGTAGTACTCCATCTGTGAGCTCTGCTGATGAGGATACCTTTTCTTCTTCTTCTGCTCCAATAACCTTCAAAGATGTGAGAACTCAAAGACCTCTAAGATCCACTTCCCTTAGAAATCACCATTACAGTCCTACTCCATGGCCCCTTCGTCCAACAAATTCAGAAGAAACATGTATAAAAATGGAAGTGAAAGTAAAGGCCTTGGTCCACTCCTCAAATCCAAGTCCTGCACTGAACGGTGTTCGCAAAGATTTCCATGACTTGCAGTCAGACAACGTGTTCCAGGAGCAAAACAATGCATTAAAAAGTACAGAATCTCAGAATGGAGATTTGCATCTCCATATTGATGAACATGTGCCTGTAGTTATTGGACTTATGCCTCAGGACTACATTCAGTATACTGTGCCTTTAGATGAGGGAATGTATCCTTTGGAAGGATCACGTAGTTACTGTTTGGATAGTTCCTCACCCATGGAGGTTTCAACTATTTCTTCTCAAATGGGTGGTAGTGCATTTCATGAAGAAGATGTTCCAGTGAGTCAAGATGTTGTAGTTGCTCCAGATATCTTTGTGGACCAGGCAGTAAATGGTTTATTAATTGGTACCACAGGAGTCATGCTGCAAAGTCCTAGAGTTAATCACAATGATGTTCCTCCACTCTCTCCGTTGCTACCTCCAATACAGAATAGTCAAATCCAAAGGAACTTTAATGGCCTGAATGGCACAGATGTTCATGTGGCTGAAAGTATGCGCTGCCATTTGAATTTTGACCCTAACTCTGCACCTGGAGTTGGAAGAGTTTATGATTCTGTACAGAATAGTGGCCCTATGGTTGTGACAAGCCTCACAGAAGAACTGAAAAAACTTGCAAAACAAGGATGGTACTGGGGCCCAATTACACGATGGGAAGCGGAAGGAAAACTGGCCAATGTTCCTGATGGCTCTTTTCTTGTACGAGACAGTTCCGATGACCGCTATCTTTTAAGTCTGAGTTTCCGTTCCCATGGTAAAACTCTTCACACTAGAATTGAGCATTCAAATGGTAGGTTTAGCTTTTATGAACAACCAGATGTGGAGGGACATACATCTATAGTTGATCTAATTGAGCACTCAATCAGGGACTCTGAGAATGGAGCATTTTGCTATTCAAGGTCTCGATTACCTGGATCTACAACTTATCCAGTCAGACTGACCAATCCAGTATCTCGTTTTATGCAGGTGCGCTCCTTGCAGTACCTGTGTCGCTTTGTTATACGCCAGTATACCAGAATAGATCTGATTCAGAAACTGCCTTTGCCAAACAAAATGAAGGATTATTTACAAGAAAAGCACTACTGAAGGCTTGTGGAAACCTTGCATCTTGCACTTTGGGAACAACAACAAAAATTAAAGAAGAGAGATTGAAATACCGTTTACACACTTTAATTTCTATCAGTCTTTTGCTGCCATAATTTCATTTTTGTGCATAAAGAAGGGTGATGCATTTTTGTTTAATGGGTGATCTGGGTTTTTCTTTATAATTCTCAAGGTTTTTTTTAAGGAGTGATATTGCTATCTTTTATTCAATGTGCTAAATAATCACAATGTGAATTATACAAGTTTTCCTAAAACTTCCCGTCTCCTTTGCTGCTAATCCACTGTGATTTTAATGCATTTGAAGCACATTTCATGTGTTTTCAACCATAAGTAAAAGTTGAAACTTGATGGGATATGTTTTGTCTTCTTCCAATAGCCTGTTTTGTTTCTTCTTGCTTTTTTAAAAATTAAAAATACAGATAAAATGTGCTGATATACAAAATTCAGATAAATTCTTAAAATGATTTCCCAGATATCTTGATTAAAAACCATAAAGTTAACTGTGGGCTGGAGACAATGTGTCATGCATCAGTTATACAACATATTTTTGAAAGCCTCCTAACAGTTTTTTCCTAAACTGTTTCAAAGATTGTAGATATGATTTTTCTTTTTGTTTCATTTTAAACCATTTTAAAAATATTTTAAAATGGCCTTTCAAAACAGACTTGGAAAATAGATATTGAAATGTTCATGTTAGTATGTAGACAAAGGATAAAATGTAAATTAAGACCATTAAAAAGTATTTGATTCACCTGTAGAAATTCTGATTTGGACTAAGTAATGGTAGCACATGGCAGTATACTGCAAAGCAGTCTTTTCAAGATAGTTTCAGCATTCTCAGTTTTATCTCAGTAGATACTTTAAAAATCCATTGAAGCTAAACATTACCCCATCTTTACTCCAACATTATCCTGTAAAAATAGAACATCATTCAGCCAAAGTAAAGCATATTCAAGTTTCATTAATTTCACTGGATGAGTTAAGCATATACTTAAATCTTCCTGAAAAAAATAGATGAGATTAAGAAGGATTTAACTTGACTGGATCATGTCCTTGGTTTTAAATGTTTTTTCTCTTTTGTGTAGCATCCAGTTTCCATACGTTTATTTCATTTTAGTCACTAGGGGAATTAAATTTATTCCTGAACATGATTTTTTGAACCTGTGTTTTAAAATCAAGGAAGAATTTATTACATCATAAACATCACCATAGGAAATGTCTCTGTGCATTATCAGTTTCATTTCTATTTTGTTGAAACAAGGAAAATGAGTTCTGTTTAAAATACTTGGCATGGGAAAATCCATTTGAACATGCTTCTGCACTGGTATTTCCAAACTATAAACGTAGTAACATATATCTCCCTTTCACTTCATTGTGGTTTACACAGCAAAAGTTGCCAATGAATAGGAAGGGCCACAAATAGCCTACATTGGACCTAATACAAAAAAGCTGGTCATATGTTTTATTGGAAGCAGTGGGAAATGTTGCAATTAATTTGCACCCATTGATTTCAGTGGGGCAGGTGTAAGTAATAATGCAACCCTGCAAGAGATGGTGCAGAATTGCAATATTACTTTTTGTAGACTGGGGCCCTTATGCTCTGTTCATAGGACTGCTTCTGCAGGTTACTCCCATGCTGAACTTTGTAGTGTAGAAAAGAGATACTTTTATTTTTATGAGGAAAGATCTTATGAATCAAAATTTAACAAGAAGGCAACCCAGCTCTGGAGCTTCTGAAAGAACCTATACAATTTGGGAATGTGTTTTTAGGTTACAGAATTTACTTTGCACCATTGTCATGTGTCTTATCTTACTTTTTGCTCCCCATGAAATTTATACTCATGAATAATTTCCTTTTTTATTTTCCCATCTAAATAATTTGAATGCACTTCTGTTTCATAAAAAGGGTGATGAAGTTTTAAGAAATCTTTGTGTTTGGATGATTCTCTCTTGCTTGCTCTACCTAGCCTTTTTTGCTCTGAATGAGTTTATAATATTAAAGTACAGTGTTGCTGCAAGGTGCTGCAATGGCACTACATCCTGGGTTGCCTGAATCAATATGCTAAACTTCTATTTTTAAAAAATTTATTTTTAGATCATAATGTTTAAAAAGAATATCAGAGGCAAAGCATGTCTTTTGCTCTGGGAGATAGAGGAGGAAGTGTCTCTCTTGCCCAGTTAAAATAGATTTTGAAAATAAATAAAAAAGAGAAAGTGATGTATTCTTAAATTCCTGAGCAAAATATATATGTGTGTGTATGTAAGTCATTTCTTGACTTTGCCATTCTGATATTTATGCAAAATCTTCATGTTGTTTTCTGAGTTTTTACCCCCAAAGCAAGAATACACATTTTATACATAAAAGGCACAATAAGATATACTATGGTACCGTGTTTTGCATCTAAGGAAGAGGAAACCCTTTTTATACAATAGGAAACATAACTGTCAAGGTAAAACTCATGTCATGGGGGTGGGGGTGGAAATCTTCCTTCAAAAGTAGGAAAAATGTTTGGGGCAAGAGAAGCTTCCTTGAAAAGTGTATTATGGCAAAGATAATGTAAACATTATCCCAAAGTTTAAGAAAATACATAATGATTTTTAAGACCATGATGGTATTACAGTTCCAAGTGATATTTATTTATCACTCTCTTTTCCCAGTCATTGTGCTGTTTAAAGATAACAGACCATGAATTTGCATGCTGCATTTATTCCTATACCTTCTCATCTTCAGTTAATCAGTACTGAAAATAGATTGTATAAGGTGGTTACATGATACTTGGAATGTTCTCTTCCCTTTTGTTTTGCTATTGTGGCACAGGGTTACAGGATCAGATTTGTTCTCCTGCTGTACAACTTAGTGAAATTGGAGAAAGCAGCTCAACCAATGGCATTACACTGAGTCAGTTTCACATGATAGTTGAGACCCACCATGGCATAACTAAGCCATTGTGGGTTGTGGTGCATGCCAGCCACCAATGTGGATATTCCTGCCACACCAGGATGTTACTGTGATTTATTGTGACATGCAGACCTGGACATGGTGATTAGTTCCTATGAGTATCAAGCCACCCAACCCCCATGGGCCTAAGTAGGTTTCTGGTATTTCCACAATGGGCATGTGGTTAACAAGCCAGAGTAACTCAAAAGGGTGAGCATGGATTGTCTTTAAGCTGTGGCTTGTTGAAACATGAGTTGCCATGTTGTCTGAACCTGGCTGTAGTAACGAGGTGTTTGTTAACTATAGTTTGCAACCCAGTGGCAAACCACATTCTCTTCATGGATTGCTCATGGTTAACCAACTATGGTTCATTAGTGCAATTGGGTTCAGACAACACAATAATCCATGTTTCAACCATGGCTCATGATTCAGTGACAATAAATAGTCATCCTATGCCCATCCCTTTAGAAGAGTACATTATGTTGTCTATGCCCAACTGTACTGAATGGAATTAGAATATTAGTATAATTGGAAGAAGCCTATTAGGCCATTGAGTCCAGTTCCCTGTTCTACTTCCACACGTGAACACCTATCCGACTGCAGGCCTACACCTTTCCTTCTTTGCAAAGGTGATTCAAAGTGCTAGCTTGATGTATAGCTATGCATCAAGATCCAAACCATTGTTGATATAGGCAAAAGCTACCAAGAACCCATGGTCTGTGGTAGGGTTATGGGTGGCTTGTTACCCATAGCACCAAGTACCCTGGCCAGGTTTTCAGAACATAACAAGCCACACTGTTGAGATAACTTTGCACACCCCTCTCAACAAGCCCAGTGGAGCTAAACTACTGTGGTTTGTTAACTGCCTGCCAGCTGGGCAAACCAGGGCATTGTCATGTCCCAGGAAAACATGAAATGGACAGATCTTTTTTTCCTCCTGTTTAACCTCACTTCTAGTCCTTCATTTCCCAGCAAGCTATCCAACTAGTAGCTAGACCCATAACACTCAGTGCCATGCACTTATCCACATCCACCTAACAAGCAATTACAAATAAAACTGGGCTTTAACCATTGGATGGAGCAAGCATTTTAGCTACAAAAACCTCTCAGTGGAAGCAATCACTTATGTTTTGCTGCTATCAGTCATCCAGCAAATCTATGTAGGTGGATGAGTAGAGGAAATTAACAACATGATATTTGCTTTTATTTCTGCTTGGGATAGCCCTGAAATGAGTTGCTGACTTCAGTAAGCGGTGGGGAAACATTTGGTCTGTAATCCAGTGCCATCTCTGCTAGGTATTCACTCCCTCTTCTAATCTAAATCATCTAAGGTAATAAGATATACAAAACTTTTGGCAGCTTCTCTTTGTATGACTAGGCTTCAAGTCTGCAATTTGAAGTAACTGCTAGCTGTTTTATGTGAATGGCAAATTGCACCTGTTTGAAACATACATGAGTGGATGCATCCTGAAAGTACTTTCAAAAACTTTTTTTGCTTTGTTCTTTGAATTCATGGAATGCTTATCTCTTATTGCCACACAGATTTATATGTTATCTTCAGTCGAGATTTAGTGTGCTTTAAATGCTCATGTGTTCAGTGCAATGAAATACATCAGGTAACATTTCATAGCAGTTTCCGTGAATGTGCCAGTAGATCACTCATACAAGCTGTTAATGGTTCTCATGATAACAGTGGAAAAATAAGACAGTTGCAAGCTACCTAATGAGCATAATTACTTTTGCTGAGTGTGAGTTGTCATAATGTCCAAACCTAGTTGGGGTACTTTCCAAACCACTCTTGACACCCTAGAACAACCCAAATGACTTATTTTCCACCTGTAATAATGGGAACCCACCTACTGAGTCATTTATAGCATTGAAGAGAAGGGACCCTCAAAACAAGGAGAACTAAATCAATGTAGCTACTAAGCACTTTTTGTAACCCTATGAGGTTTAAACTAATTCAGGTTTAATACCATTTTGTAAATCAAACTACATGGATTAAATACGAGCATTTTGTGTTATCGAAACACAAGCGAAAGGAAAACAATTGAATGAATAGTTCTTGATAATATTAACTTACTGCTCATGGCTGTTATTATAAACATTATTATTACTTCTGCATTGGCACCACTTAGGTAATATACATAAATGTTACTGTAACCAGAAAATGCTATTATAAATTGACAGGAAAAGCGCAATATAAAATTACATGTGATGATAAAATTAGGAAAATATATCAAACTAGAGTTTTAGTGTACTTAGCAACTAACAGCCCGTAACAAGTATGTTGTGAGAAAGCAAGCATGAACTGTAGCAGCAAATTCTGTGTCTACAGTAGCAAAGATTTTTGAATGGAACCTGGTGTAAGGAAGAAAAGGTGCACTCCAGTGTCAAGGACCTGAACATAGAAAGGACCACAAAGGTTTCAATAATATAGGAAGCATTTCTTTTAAATATTGGCTTTTAAATTATTTTAAAAGCAATGGTTAGAGATGAAATACCAGTACTTCTGTGATATATCTGCCTTGTTTCTTTGCCACCTGTAAATGGACATAAAAGAGCATTTCTGAATTGGAGAGTTTCAAGCATGTTCTATTCAAGACTTATAAATAGCATTTTTCATTTTTCCCACACTTCTCTAATATGCAGTTAAATCTCTCAGCATAGCAATGGTTCTGCTGAAACACCAGCCCCTTTCAATTTATCTTTTTCCACCTGCAAGCATTGTTCACTATTTTACATCTGGCCTGTACTCATAGCACTGAAGTATGTCTTTTCTTATTTTTTTCAGGCCACCTCCATCCTCCTGCACTTCTTATTCCTATATCTTCCTTAACCACGCACGCACACAACATGCTCTCACAGGACCAGTGCTGAGGGTGCATTTTCATGAAACCATCTAGGGTTATCTGATCATCTCCGATTTGTGCTATTTCAGACATTGGTCACAGTGTTTGACAGGAGTTCACTGACAGCAGGCAAAGCACTGATTTTTAAATTCAAAAAGATCATAATTCAGGGGTTAGTTGTAGAATTTGTAAAAAGTTGAAGCTTCCCAAAATCCAACTCTTTGCTGTGGTGATATAATTTTTTTTAATAGGAAAACCTTGAATTGGAAGTGAAAGTAGTGTATACCTGATCCCAGTGTTAGCTGTGGCAGAAAGAACAAAGCTAGTGGGGGTTACCTTCACTGAACTAGGGACCTAGAGTCAGGGAAGTTTTACTGGTGTCAACAAGAAGCTTCTTCAACACTTGTGTGGAAGGCAAACGTGACAAGACTGGAAATTAGGATTACTCTTGAAAGAACTTTCCCCTATAAGGTTTGAGTAAACTACCTTTTCTAATTTTAGGCAAGTGATTCTTGGGTTCCTGGGCAGGGGAGAAAGTTTAAACTAGAGCTTCATATGTGTTCAAGGTTTATTTTTGTTATTGTTGTCAGTATTTACTTGTCCCAGGAGATAAAACTCTAGCAAACCCAGGGGTCTGTGTGGTTGGTTGTTATTTTTTTCTTTTTTTGGTGGGGTGGGGAGGGTTCTAAATAATAAAGGTAATAAAGGATTTTTCATATTCATGTCAAGGTGCTTCTTGCCATATGAACTCTTATTGCTGAACTTAGTAAAACATGCAGTTTTTCATACAAATGCATTTCTTAATGTGTAAATATTGGAACTGTTAAATGAAACCAAAATACCAGCAATATACTGACTGTGAATCCCAGTAAGGAAGGGTCTTTAACTACATAACATTGAAATTTTAATCTAAAATATTGGTCACATCAGCATTTGCTAATATTGTATCTTGAAATACTACAAAAGGTATATGAATGATGCATTCTTTAACAAGGATGAAATAGTTCTTACAATGAAAAATACTGTAGAGTTTGATGTATTTGGGAAATGGTCCAAACTCTTTATGCCAATAATGGGGTGGGTGGGGTGGGGGAGGAGAAATTCTTATAGAATTTTGTATTACTATGTATTGGGTTAAAGAATTTTTATAGTGGTGATGGAGTGCCATGAAATTAATACTTAAAATCCAGATTGCTGTAGTTTACACTTTTCTGTATGTTTCCAACTAAGTGTGCCCTATTTGTACTAAGCACACAACAGAACGAATTATCCAAAGTCCATTGGTTTTAAATGTGTTTTGGTTTGTTAAAAAGATTATAGTAATTTCTTGCACATTTTTTGAAAAATTGTATAAGGATTTATGTATCTGCTTCTAGATACAGTGTGTAAATAAAAAAGTCATTCACAGAAATGCAGTGTATATTTTAATGAAGCACTGAAGAGCTTACTTGTACCTTATTTGCTTTGTGTCTTTTCCAACTTTAACCTTCTTTAAGTATATGTTGCCCTAGCATATATTAACATATCTATAGTTCATCTAGTCCACTTGTTTGATTTTCACTGACTGCCCATGAGCTTATGCAGTAGTTTGTCCCAGTGCTTTAACTACTTGCAGTTAAACCTATAACTTCCATATATAAATCATGAGGGTTACTACTGATCTATGGTTAGTTGGATTAAGCTTCCAGAATAACCTGGAATCTGCAATGTTTGTCCAGAACATCTCTTTTATTTTAAATGGGAAATAACCAGAGACATAACTTTTTAATGAGGTGGGAACTGACATACTACAAAATGGATAGTGTCAAATGCAACAGACAGTGAATAGTTGACTCTTCCTAAGAAGGCAGGACCAAAGAGAAAGTTTTAGGTTCAACCTAGAGAAAAAGAAAGCCTCAGTCACACACCTGCAACCCAGATGTCATAACTGCAACCTAAGGTGGGCTGGTGGGACTAGTATAATTAAAGAATAGTGAAGGAAGGGGGAGCAAACAGAATCCAATGTATGTTGATCCTTCTTCCCAGGAAACACATAAGTAATGTTTTGAATATTTATTTATTAAAACATCTTTAAAGCATCCATCTTAACCAATACCAGAGCAGCATCCAGTGCAGCATACAAGTATAATTAAAGCAAACTTAAAAACCCCAAAATGTATCATCATAATAGAAGAAGGCAGGAAATAAAATGGAATAGAAAGTATTGCCCAACTAAGATGCACTGATACTGAAAAAACAGTTTGGCAGTGCTGGTGCCAGTCATATCTTCAGAAGGACAACATTCTGTTCTGAAGTAGCAAGAAGGTGGTCTCCCTTGTTTGCGCATAATGTACCCAAGATAACTGGAGTGTAGCACACCTCCCTCCTACAACTATTTTAAATCACGGGCAGGCTGGGATGCAGAAAGCTGCAATGTAGTAAGTCAGACCATTGGTTTATCTAGCTCAGTATTGTCAGCACTGGGTTAGACAACATGAGAACCCATGTCCAAGGATTGAGTACAGCTCGTCACTGAATGGTTGCTACTGTTGAAATATGGGCTATTTTGCTTGAATTGAGCCACATGAACAAACCACAGTTGCTTAACCACGAATAACCTACAGTTCTCATCCCAACGTCAAACCTTGGGTTCTCTTCATGATTTGTTTGTGATTCAGCAGCTATAGTTTGTTATTGGATACCAATAATAGAATCATATTTCAACAATGACCCACACTCAGCCCATACTTGACTCTTCAGTGTGGGTTATTGTATTGCCTGAATCTAGCCACTGGCTACGAGTGGCACTTTGGACTTCCCTGTAGGAACTTTTCCAGACTTTCCTGGGATTAAACCTTTGACCTTCTACATGTGAACTACAAGTAGATGTTTGGGTTACAAACATCTGCATTATAAACATTGGTATTATGAACAAACTGCCATAAAACCTATTAATTTAAAAAATCAAGTTAAAGACAAATAGTTCGTAGTAATGAATGCAAAGTAGTTTCCATGGCCTACTGTGAACAATTGCCATGAAAATAGAGAAGCTTCTAAAGCATACTTTCTTGCCTTGCCCACCTGGAGAGAAAAATTCCTCTGGCATTTCCTGGGTGCAAAGAGGAGGCATTGGTGAATGGAAGGGAGAGCAGGAAATAACATAGGAATCTAATACCTGAAGAAGAGAAACCCTGCTGGGTCAGATTGAGGTCTGACAGAGAGAGAAGCAATCCAGGGCATGTATGGTCAACAATATTAAGTGTTAAGGGGGTTGTGGGGGCAGATATATTCACGATTTTTTTCACTTTCATGGCGGAAAACTTTCATAGCACTCCTGCACCCCTAACCAAATGTGGAGAGCCAACGGTATATTGAAGTGTTCCTTAGGTGTTTTATATGCATAGAAAAAGTAATATATGTAGACTAAAACAAACATTTGGCTTACTCATGCAAAATACAACCCATACTTACATGATCCAACTTGCGTACAAATTCAGCTTAAAGACATTTTCAGGAATGGAACTCATTCATAATCCAGGGACTGCCTGTATATATTTTATGATTCATCTATGGCCCTTCTCTATGGAGAGGTGCTCCTATAGACATTAAAGTCTCAAGCCATGTAAGTTAGAAAGCACATTGAATTGGACCCAGAAGCAAATAAGACTGCTGGCGCAGCGCCTTAGGAATAGATATAATTCCATCTGGTTGTACCAATTCAGTGCCCTCTGTCCACATTAACTGAAGATCAAAGGTTGTCTTCAAGGACAGTACCATGTACAGAGCATTACAGTCATTCTCCCTGAATGTAAGCAGAACGTGAAGTTTTCTACCCCGCTTCCAGGAACAGTCACCCAGAGAGTCGTATATTTTATGGATGTTGTGAGCCGCCCCGAGGCTTTGTTGCAATGTGGGCGGCATAGAAATGTTTTAAATAAATAAATATAGCTAATGTGCCAGGCTAAAAATCAAATTAATATATGATTTTACACTAGTCAATGCTGTTAAATGTCTCTACTAGCCACTGAAGACACCTTATTCACAAGTGGCTATTCTGACCCAAGGAGTTCCCTCAAGAGCCACTTCTGCTCTTTCAGTTGAGTGCAACCACATCTAAGACCGATGCACAGACCTGAAAACTACCTACCATTAGAGCTAGCTGATGAATTTTGTGAATCCAGTGATGTAATTTTAGAGAGTCCTTCTTTGCAGCTTTACCCTTGACCCTACCTACTGGGTGCTTCTGGCCCACTCAGGGTAATATGGTAACCATGGAATGGTGGCAGTGATACTGCCTGAACAGACCTTGGGTGTAATTGGTTATGCCTAAATGCCAGACTACCTCCTAAATTATAACAAGGCAGTATGCATCACAAAGGAATAATCCAGCCAAGTCTCAATTAAATGCAATTGAGTGACCATGCAAACCAGACAAAATGGAATAGGGAATACACACATGTATGCACAAGCGTACCATCAACCAAGCAGTTCCTTTGGGATTTGGAAAAAAAATGTTGTGGGCACCATCTCAAAAGACTGTTGGAAGTTGGCCAGGAAAAATATCTTTGAATCTTTCTGTGGGTGTGTATGTGTATGTGGCCTTTGGGTTTATGTGTTCTCTCCCTCTCCCTCTCCCTCTCTCTCTCTCTGGCAAGCAACAAAGCTATCTTTCTCTGGCAAGCAGGGAGTGGTGGCAGTGAAGCTACCAAGTATCCACCACGGTAGTGTTGGCTACTGCTATGTGAGGACAGAAGTCTTGGTTGCTCTATCCTGCACAGCCTTCTCTAAATAAGTTCTAATCCTCTCCTACCACAATTTAAGGTAAATAATTTATTTCCAAAGAATGGACTTGGCCATTCAGTCCTGCCCTAAGATTGACTATCTTGTCTAAAAGACTAAGGGCAACCTCTGCATTTTCATCCTTGCCATGAAGATGTCAGGCTTCTCACTGGGGCATTTCTCTTTCTTTGACTGAAGCAGAGTTAGCTATGCATCCATTGCAAAGAAAAATAAGGTGCCATTTCTTCCAAAGGAAATCTTTCAGCAAACTTGGAACTTCAGAGGTTACGGACAGGGTCACAATTAATCCTGGATAAGGCATATGCAAAACATTACCTTCTGTCTGTTTAACGAATTGGGACTCTGTGCTTGAGGACTAATAGTTAACAGTCTTGCAAAGCTGATAACCACTGATCCATGACTAAGGCTCTTACAAACTTTCATCTCAGAATCCTGGAAATTCATTTCTGTTTTGCTCTGTGCCCCAATGCTTTCCAACCCATAGGAGATATTTTTTATCCTAAAGTGAATTCATAGTGCAAAAAGCAATTCCTTTGATTGTTTAAGAACAAACTGAAAGATAAGCTGGGCACACATGAATGCTTAGTTCTCACAATGTGGAAAAAGAAACAATGAAACATGGCCAAGGATCTTAGCTTTCCCAGTTTGGTGGGTCTTGTACAATTGTGCACTCAAGTGATACCAAAATAGAATGAGCACAGTAACTTTCAAGCTCACAGTGACCACAGTGACCACACAAATACATGCACAAAGCAGCATAACTTATAAACAAAATAAAACATTAGTGCCTGTATCGTTCAATGTAAGGGCCACTGTGATTTTGCTGGAACGTATCAGCCTCTGTATGTTCATATTTTGCTGAGCTGGAAAGATGCATACACAATTCATTCTGCCTTTAGAATACTGTTTAACATGCTAGTAGCTATGGCCACATTCATTGCACTGTGGGAACTTAATGGCACACAACTGCAAAAGAATGCTGAATATATATTCAAAAATATTTTTCTTTAGTAAGCTGCCAAGCAAGTAAGGCCACAAGAGGACAGTTAAAATAATGAGCAGTGTAATGCCGAATGAAATTTAATGTTAAGTGTAAAATAATGCACACTGGAAAAATACCTTCAAGTTGACTTGTGCCCCATTCAGTTAGGTTATTCATACTATTTAGCATAATGTTATTGCACATAATCAACATTAATTAGAAGCTTCAGTGGGGATTACACCAGTTCATGGAAACTAAGAGATTGTCAATGGGTATTAGTC